GTGATAGAGATGAAAAAAATTCCCCAGAATGAGGACACTATTTTTGGCCTTGCTTGAGATTGGAAGTAATTCAATTTATTCAAAATCCAATTTACCCAAAAGCCAGGCCAGTCACTGAGCAGGAACTTTTGAGGTCTTTGCAGTAGCACTTGTAGGACTGGGGCTTTGAAAATCCGAACCAAGGTGACCCAGGTTGCTTGTCTGGTTGGGCTGTTTTAGGGACATGCCAGGAATACCTGTGTCCTGAGCTCCAGGACTGAGGGGCAGTAGAGGAGAGTAGGGTCATGGTGACAGTGCAGGGACAGGCCACAGGGGAGCGAGCACAGCCCTGCCCTTCGGAGGGTTTCACTGGAATATTTTAGTTTGTATAAACTCCTCTTTTACTTCTTCTTGAATGAGGGTAGAGATTACCTAGCACACAAACTGTTGTCTTGTAACCATGATGTGTAAACATAAAGTGCAGCTGCCTGTTTCCATGCTTATATAAAGTTGTATTGTACAAAAATATTAAGAAAAGTCTGTCAGACTGGCTGCTGTGTACAGTACTAACTCCTACCATTGTCCCTCTTCAAAGCAGTTGTTTTCAAACAACTGAGCTCAGTTTCCATCAACAGACTTACTACTAGAAGATATTCGCATTAATAATGTTTGGATTTGTAAGCTATCAAGAAAGTTCATTTCATGTTCTCATTATTCTCGGAGTTTAATAATCCATCAAAATGCCATGATATCTCTTCTCCTATTCTGATGGGGTGATGGCCTTTCAGCTGCAAGAGCAATCAGTTCTCAGACCAAAAAGAAACTGTTGCTGAGAGCTGTCAAATATTCAGGGATCAGGTTTGAAAGGACATGGAAAGGTCCATCCACACAAAACCAATGCAATAGCTAAACCTAGTTAAGCATTCCAAAATAAAAATAACAACCCTAATACATTAAATAGGTCACTACCACACTGAGTGGTCACTTAGTTGCGAGGACTTTCTCAGGTCTGGCATATAATCAGTCCTTTAAAGTATAACTGGGCATTTTGTCCATTGTTTAGGAAATTTCTCTACTGTATGTGTATGCCCAGTATTTTAATGAATACCCTTATTTCTGTATTAATAGCCTATGTATTCTTGTTTATGCTTGATATCTAACTCCCCTGAATAATAAATAGAGCTAAATAAATTATCTTTTTGGTGAGAGAACTCCTCTCATTCTGTGTAGGATTTATTGCTTGCTAGAGGATTATATGAGGATATGTGTTAATCTCATACTAAGCATTTAAATGAACCAGCTAGGTGGGAATTGATTTCTCCATGCTGCAGAAAATTCCATGATTTAAAATGTCTTCTGATTGTGATTAACATCAGGCAACAGCATAATCCTGAAAGAAGGCCAGAACTACTGCTTAGGCCAGAACTACTATACATCTTCCTGAGCGGACATTTTCTGAGCCTTTCTTATGCTGTGTCCACCCAGATTTAATAATTTCAGATCCTATTATTAGAGAAATAAAAACACCATGTTTTCCTCTTTAATGAGCTATATATCTTTAAAAACCAAAGCAACTCACTGGAAAGACTACAGAGAGAGAAGAAAATGTCATTGAATATATAATGTGCTTAAGAAGGCAGAATATTTTGCGTTTAGCGCCTTTTATTAGGAAACACCAAATTCATCTCTGTGCTAACTTCCTCTGGCTTCAGGAGGACAGCAGCAGAGATGAATGTGATCCACTGTTCTCTTATATGGCAGAAGGTCCCATGAAGAGTCCTGGTACCTTATTAAGCATCACTTGGAGTCTGCACAGTCACGTTATCTTGGTTACTCCTTCTGTTGTCATTGGTATATCATGGCCTAGTGCTGAAACTTTAACAAACACAGCCCTATTAGCTTCACACCAATTTAGTGTCAGATTGTTAAACGGTAATATACTACATTCTATAGCTCTAAATAGAGTTAGAGATGTTTACAGCTTTGGTTAGATGCATCTTGTTCCTGCACATTAAATTTTATTACCAGAATCCTCCATCAGCAAATAGGACTAAATTGCATTAGTGTTGCGAGCTTTGTGGGGATTGATTCTGCAGTCCAAGGAAGGGGTGTTTTATTACTCTCTATTACAACTCTCTAATTGGGAGGTGTGGTTAGAATACCATTATCTCTGTACTTGCAAGCAAAGTCTTTGTTTTAGAATAACTGTAACATAATTACGCGGTTCTCTTCACTAAGAAGTTCAAGCAACTTGTGTTCTTAGGGTTTGGCCAAGTTCTGGCACAATGGGACTCATTTGGTGTATGATTTGTAGGTCAAATTCTGTTTTCTTGAGAACTTCTCTGAACCATTTCCAATGAGCAACATCATAACAAGTGTTTTGCCATGTTTCTTGCACTCACCTGGAGCAAGGTCACCTGGTGTGTCTTGTTCCACCACATGCGACAACTCTATTCATCTGCCTGGTGGGAAGCTAGAGCAATGACTGCATGTCCATAGAAGACAAAACTTGTAATCTCAGAAAAACCTATCTTCACCTCTCAGAAAAAGAGAAAATGGAGATGAACAGATTAGATAGTCCATCACCTCATCTCAAGGTTGAACGGACTAAGCCTAACTTAACATGACTCAATCTGGCACAGATTTGGTCTAACCTGCAGTTCTATACCCTTTCCAAGATCTATTTCTACAGCTCTCATTATTCAAATGTCAACAGACATTTCCCTTTCCTCTTGACAGCCTTTTTCATATTTGAAAACTGCTAAATCTAGTGAGGAGAAGACTGAAGAGAGAATTAGCCTCCGTTCTCTCATTCTTTCCTCTTATAAAGTTCAAAGGATTCCTGAAAATACTTCCTTGGAGAAGATTTACAAGTTAATCCAGAGAAAATGGATCCCTACAGACTGGACCATGGGAATTCAGGGAACAGAAAGGGTGGCAGTTGATTTCCCAGATTCCATTTGGAGTCCAATCCACAAGGGGAAAAGCCTGCTGAAACACCTGCACAAAACGTCCTATGGTTCCAACTTCTGGCTCTCTAACATCTCCTCTCTGTCTGCCCCGGTCTGGCAGCCAACTTGGCAGCTGTTGCGTATTCCAGCACTTCTGCTGAGCAACTAAATGCTGAAGCAGTGGCTCTAATGACTGCAAAGCAATAGATTGGACAAGAATCCTATCTGTCCTGCCACCACATTATCTTAAGTTCCTCTGTTCATCACCAGTACTGCTGTGTTGTTTGAACCCCTAAGAGACTTTCCATTTTTTTTTTTTAACCACTTCAGACAGAAATGTTCTGAAAGCCCTTGTCCAAGTTTTCAATTTACCCTTACTCAGGCTTTCCTTTTAATATATAACACAACTAACCACTGCAACCACAGTTTTCCCTGCTGCACAGAACCGGGGATGCTCCCTAACAGGGAAGCAGGCAGTTATGCAGACATAGTATTTAGGCAAGCTCACATGATTTCTGTTCCTGGCTAAGGAAAACCTTTACTAAAGTCACTTTGTATCTCTCTATACTTCTGCATCCTGTGCCTCTGTTCCTTATGCCCTTCTTGAACACAAGCAGCTAACGAACTCACATCCTCTCTCTTGGGTTTCAGCCAAAACAAGTTGAAATCCTTTCTATTTTGTCTACAGAGATATTTTATTGTAAATAAGGAAATGGGAGCTAAGAACCCAACAATGCTTTAGGGACCTGCACGCTGAGAACCCTGCAGGACAGGACCACCTTTGGTGGGTTTGCCTTCTTCTTCCGAGCTGGCATGGCCTTAAGCACAATTCAGAGCAGGTACAGTAGCTAGGAACCTACAGCATCACATAACAGCCTTACACCTTCCCTTGAGAGATTAGCCACTGATCCTGCTGGGTTATCCTCAGGAAAGAGGAGGCTTCCAGTAAACTTCTCTGGCTGCTAACAGGTCTCTGCTGATACCAGTGGGGAGACACAGCACAGAATAGAGCATTACACATAAATATAGTGTGCAAGTAAACATGGGGATTGGCAAGGCAAGTGGACATGCATCCTCCCCATGCCATACAAGCAGATAAGGATGCTGTTGGATGCTGCTCAGCAGTTCTAAGCCACTTCCCCCAGTTCCAGTTCTTTCTACTATGAACAGGAGCTAGAAGAGATATTTTACTGCACCTTCTGTAAAAGGAGCTTTTATCTAGCCAATTAAGCAGCTTTACAACCCTTATCCACCACACTAGTCCTGAAAGAGAGGCGACTAGAGGCGTCCTTGGATCAGAGACGATCAGCAGGGCTGACCATGCTGCTCTCAGTGGAAAACATCCTTCAGATCCTTCATGCAGAAAGAGCTACACTCAACTCTACATCCCCTTCTTCCTTGCTTACTCTCTAAGAGCAGTCAGGGACAGAAGAGCTCTGTTCTGTCAGGGAACTAACTCAAAAGCCAGAATGAGTAAATCATTGTGCGCATGATGATGGCAAATGGCAAAGGCCACTTCTATGTATCACTATAAAAAATAACATTAATTGGGATGCTTTGCAATTTCCTGTACAACCCATAATTAGGTTAGATAAGAAACTAGCAGTGTCTAAGTGCTATAAACGTCTAAATTAAGTTATTTTGAAAGTGCCTGGCACTTTGACATTTGAGAGTTCAGAGTAATTGGGGTATTGAAATAAAATTGCTTCTGTTATTTAA